CATGCAAATTTCCTTTGCTGTATCAGGCCAAATGTATCTTTGCCCTTGATTTCAATATAGATTGCACTTAAAAGAGTTTTTGTTGCTGTTGTTTTTGACATAGACATGGAGAATTCTTTTGCAATCCAAATCCTAAGTAAAAGTATCTTCATATCTTTATTTGTATCATGCACTCTTACTCAGTTGATAAAACACATACTCTCTTGGAAACCAAGAAGCCGGTATTCAGATAATTTACACAAGTTCAAAAGTACTATACAATAAAACATTACAAAAGTTGTTTTTTTAAGAAATTATACAGTTGAATTACAATATTCTGTGTACTGGATTTCCATATCCAGTGAATATTTTGACACTTGTATTTCTCTCACTTAAAAAATTACCCTTATGTGGCTTCAGTAAAATTCCTGAACCCTGAAAACTAACTTACTTGTGCCTCTTTCACTATTTTCTTGCTTACTGTAGCAAGACACTTGCATATGTCATTCAGCTACTACAAAGTGGATAGCAGTATTTCCTTTGTGGCAGATGGATTTAAACTTGACTTCTCAATAAATGTAGGCTTACAATACATAACTTTACAGGATTTGTGTTGTATATAACAAGTTTGAACATATTATCTCAGAATTCATCTGCATGGCATTTTCAGCTTATCCCAGGGCCCATGCCAGTATCTTAAGTAATAGGGAGAGAGCATAGTGATTGAGAGCAGCTAAAGGCGTGATTTTGAATAGAAACAAAGGCTTTAGAACAGAAGGTGTCAAATTAAACTTTGTCAGTTCGAAAAGTAGTAACATCCTGAAAGTTCATCTGCATATTTACATGTGACTAAATGTTTATATTTTGCCTTTGCCTTGCTCCTTCTTTATATGCAGTGCAATGTTGCTTGGCAAAATTACTGCACAGATATGCAGGATGTTCCTATCTGTCATTTTAGGTTGTACTTTTATACAAGAATGTGCAAGGCCTAAGGGTGGACTTCCGTATGCATTGTTGCACAATAGTGCATTTATAACCCATTGTAATAGAGAGGTGTTTTTATTATTTTTATTATTTTTACTAAAGTACTCTTCAATGAGAAAAAGATATATTTCAGCTATTGTTTTAGTTTTGCTAATTTAAAAATTGATGTATTAATTTTCTCTTTTATAATCCAGAGACAGCAGACATTATTTTATTGAGGTGAAATTGAAGCTTATCCAGTTATTCAAAACATTATGGGCAGTATCCAGGTAGACATGATCATGAAGTTAATTTATACTGTGTTTGTGTAAGGAGTTCTAGCTCAATACCAGTAACGTTAGCTGAAATAACGAGTTTTCCCAGGAATCACATCTTGCCAACTAACACTGTTGGAATTATAGTTGAGATTCCTTACTCTAGCACAATGTAATTTATGCCACCATTAGTGTTTTTAATTGGATACTGCCCTATGTTTTACATTTCCATTTTTTGTTATATGTTATATGTTTAAAATGCACCATATTGCATACAAAAATGAGGTGATATATAACTTTTAATTAAAATAACAGATGAGACAAGAGAGATTTTTTTTTAGTTTTAACTTCAGTTTCAAATATTGTCAAAATCTGATTTTAATCTTTCAAAATTACTGTACTATCCTTAAAAACCAAACAGAGTTGTATTTAGATTTGTAATTTATCACATTATTTTGGGCGTGAGGAATTAGAAGTATTATTTTCAGGGCAAAGGTTAATAGCAAACTACTGGAAATGTTTTATTAGTCATGGGTAATTAATAAAGATATGTCTGCACTCAGAACAGAGAAGTGACAACAAGAGCAAAATACTTGCTAAATGAGGCTTATTTTTCTTTCCGGAATTACTCTCTAAAGCCAGCCTAGTCATGATTATAAAGGAATTATTTTTGATAACTGTGAAAAAGTACTAGTTGTTATTTTTAAAGTAATATATACATTCCACCTGTTTGGGTTTTTCTTTTAATATATCTTGTTTTTAAAGGGCTATTAAGATTTGGAGCTCAAAAATTAGGGGAGGGAGAAATTCCTTTTTAAATATTTTCTTTACCAGTCAGACCATTGTGCCAGTCAGAAACATACTCTCAGTACAGAAGGCATGAAGCAGTTCAAATGAAGCAGCCAGGGTTCTTCTGCTCAGTGGGTTCCTCTGCACTCCATGGACTCTGAAGTAAATAGATGTTCCTTACCTAATCATCCAACATGAGTGCACAGGCATCTTCTATATCCTTTTATCCAACCCTCCTTCCCGTGAGCAACATAAATTGTTAGTGCTGTGGCACACAAGTAAGATACATGGTGCAGAGACAGAGTTGGATGTTGATATGAGAAGTGTGCAGGGAGTAGCTCTTTGGATTCTGGCCAGTATGTATTGACTGTTGAAACAATAGGACTGCATACATTTTAACAGAGGCCACAAGAATATTTGGCTGTTTTATCTGACTTCTGCCTTGGCTGAAATCAAAATATAATATAGAATAGCTCACTGTAGTACACTGCTTAGTGCATGCTAAATTCTCACAATCCATTGTTTCAAAACACGTATCCATGTTCTGTCTGGCAGGTATCCACCTCAGATGATGCTTCCCTTTATAGAACTAGGTTGCTGAGAAGAATGATTCTAGCCTAGCTTTCACTATAATGTGTTAAGAGTATTCATATCTGCAGGTAACCAGTACATGAATAGGAAAAGACAGTGAATGTCAGAAACAGGTTTGTGCTACCGACTGGACTTACCTCTGACTTGGTCCAGCTGTCACCAGAAAACACACATATTTAAAAGTCAAACTGTGGCACTCATAGAAACTTATTCGTTAGTGAAGAGCAATCCACCTCCACTTTTTCATCATTCTTTTAGAGGACCAGTTTTACGGATTTAGAGATGTGTATGTTGCAGGAAGTGATGGAGTTTAAGTGATCAGTCCCACTGATTTCAGATGGAAAATCTAACTTCCACTGGATTATGTGAAATCCATTACTCCCTATCTGCAGAAATAGCGAATTGGAATTGGTTTGATAAGTATATTCATCATTTATCTTAGTAATCAGGATGTTTTCAAGCTATGACTTAGTTGTTGCCAAATCAGTAGTAATGCAGCCCTGAATTGGTCATATAAAGATTAAAATTGTGTAGCATATTCTACAAGGGGCTGATTTAAAGACAGTTGGAAAACTTAGACTGGTACAAAATGCAACTGTCAGAAAAGTAGTAGGGGCTAGATGATAAACTCACATTGAGAGCAGGAGGAGGAGAATGATGTAAGCTGCTTTGAGTCCATAAGAAAAAAAGCAGGATATAAATTTAATAAATATGACACTCCTCTTTCACTGACTTCATATTTATTTTTGAGACCAAACTGAAAGATCTGCTATTACTCTTTATAACAGTTTTTGGAGCAGGTTATTGGAAGAACTACATACAGCCGAAGGACTCCACCTAGGTCTAACACTTATCCTTTAGAGTTTAGAGGCTTTCTTCTCTGGTGCAGCAATTAGATGCAAGAAGACTTTCTTTATATGAAATGTATATCCCTCCTTTCTGATGGTTAGTCATTACTCCAGGCAGGTCTCTTTCAGTAGTGACCCCCACACATTCAGGCCCTGTTTCGTTTGGCTTGAAAGCAGATCTGAAACTTTTAATCCTGTCAAGTCTTGTCACTGATTGTATTGCTGGCTTGCTGCATTTCAATCTGATGCCATTTCACAGATTGTTTTCATAGCATTGCTACTGCAAGGTTTCTATCTTAATTTCTTTTGTTTTTTTCTTTTTTCTTTTTTGAAAGCTGGCTTTGGGGGCTTGGTCCTAAAAGAAGGATAAAAATAACTGACTTGTAATCATTCCACACACATGCAGATCTTTAAATAATACAGGTTTTAAAACTGAAGTATTAAAAATAAAATCTAAAAGTGTATTGTTGATCATGTGTGTGTGTTTTATTAATGTTATTGTTTCTTCTCATGCATTTAGAGCAAATCCAAACTCCTTTGTCCTGTTTCTTTAGAACTAATAAAAAAAATCAACTAATGTTACAGATATTTAAGATGGCATGTAGGCAATTGCTAAACCGTTAAGGGGGGGAAGAAATCTGTGCATCTATTTTCGAAGCAAATTAGCATTTGCTACAGTTCTCCTGGGACAATGTTTTGGCATACTTTCAAGCCTGTTTTCCCTAGAACAAGCCTGGGTTAGAGCAGGTGCTTTTATAGAGAGCTTACATGCTCTGCGATAGGAAGATGGTGAAGAGTGTCGGTCATAGAGAAAAATCATCAGTTTGATTTTCAATTTTTTTTTATAACCAGAAGATTGTGAATCAAGTAGAGATTTATCAACAGGTTTTGGTTTGTCTGCTGAGCCACCTGAGCATGTAGCAAGAAAGATCAATGATGCATATTCAAAGGATTGCTCCTTTTCAAAATGGCATTAGAGAACTCCTGTATCATGATTTATGGGAGCCAGCTTTATCGTCAAGATAGATATAAGAAGCACTCCCTTATTCTAAACAAGAAAAATAGCACGAGGATGTTTTACAAAAGAAAAGAAGAGTGAAAATAATACCGAATATGTATAAGCTACAAAAATACACCTTTTGTTCCCTCAGATGGATATGGCATGCATAAATAAAAGAAAATCATCTGACACACAATAGCAGTGTGAAATAAAATAGAATGTTCCCCAGTATACTTGAAACATATGTGGTGTGCTGCTGCTGCGTTGCTCTTTTTCTGGTTTTTTAAAATACACAATAACTATGCCAACTAGGTTATTATTCCAAAAGTTGGCATTCTCTTGCTAGGTTAGTAAAACAGCATGACAATGTCTTACCATACTATTTAAAAAAAAAACTTCCTCAGATTGTTTTTAAAGAGACTGTGAAATGTAAAATGCAAGCCGCAAGGATGTAAGCTTTGCCCTTATTTTATCCTATATGTCTCCAAGGAAAACACTTGGAGGAACATACTTTCCTGCAAATATTATCTAATATTCTGATGATATTATCTTAAGGGATGGCTTTGTGAACTTTTACGTTGGAAAGAAGATCCTTCACCTGAGAATAGAACCTTGTGGGAGAATCTGTCAATGATCCGGAGGTTCCTCAGTCTTCCTCAGCCTGAACGAGATGCCATTTACGAACAAGAAAGCAATGCAGTTCATCACCATGGCGACAGGCCTTCCCATATTATCCATGTTCCAGCAGAGCAGATTCAGGTTGGTTTACCTTGGCCTATTCAGTATATCAGCAAAGCAAAACAAAAATCCAGTTTAACTGGCAGAAGGAATAGCTGCTTCTGTTTCTGCTATATTGAAAGGCAATGTTTTGGTATGAAAAACAATATTTCTTTTTCATCATTCACCTTCAACTAAATATGTAAAACTTTGTGTTCAGGAAAGAGAGGTATGTATTCGGTATTCATCATAATTAATTTTAAAGTTTCTCTATCAGCATCTTTTCTTCATTGGGCCACCCAAATACTTTCTAAACTTTTTAAAAAAAAGTTCGATGGGTGCAAGGATAGCTAAATGTAGATACACACAAAGAATTATATGTACGTTTGACCCATTTTCCCCCTTTTATTTATACATGCACTGACAGTTGGTAGAGGTGGGTGGGGAGCCTGCACAGAATCATGCTTTAAAAGTAAGAGGTGTACATGCATACCTCTCATTATAACCATAAGTATATAAATGGATAGGGCTTAAATATTTTAGGAGCCATAATTTTGAAATAAAAGTCCAGTCAAGGGTCTGTAGCAATGGTTCATTGACATGGAGATAGTGGGAAGACCTTGAGCCCCAAATTTGTCATCCCACTTACCCAAGTTTGAAAGTTGGGATGAGTCAATGTTTGTTTGTTTTTCCTTTAGAGCCCCTCTCCCACCACCCTTGGGAAAGGAGAGCATAGAGGCGCTTTCTTACCAGGCCTGCTGACCACTGGACCTTGGCTGGGTGCTGCTCCCCAGGTGAGCTGGCACAAGTTTAATATGTCAGGAGAGACCTGGAGGGGTTTCAGGACTTGATCCAACTGCTTCCTTCCATATAAATATAGAACAGGAACTATTGCCTCTCTGGGAATGATGAGGCTTAATTTTATTATAAGCTGCCCTGATAATATATAAATTGAAACACAACATAATGTGCAAAGAGAACTTGTATTAGGGAAAATTCAGATTTGGATTTGAGCACAGTACTGGTTAGATTTGGGCACAGTATTAAGCTGCACATACAAAGACATGGAAATTGTTCATGTACCCTCACTGTACCCCAGAATGCTGGTACAGAGCAATATCTTTATGCACCAAAATATGCATTAATATAATATCACAGTTATCTCTAAAGCTAGTCCTACACAGATTTATTCTGAAGTAAGTGCTATTGATTTGTCAGGGGACTTGCTTCTAAATATATGTTTAGGATTGCAGCCTTGTTTATTTAATGCTGGCTCAATTGAGCTTCTGGAATTAATAATACTTATTATTATTCAATGCATTGTTGTTATTTGCATGTCTATAGTCTCCAATAGCCAAAGCATTCTGGACAATTTACAAAATATTAAAAGCTTATAAACAAAATATATAAAAACCATCTACATACCAAAACAGTTAAAACAATAAAAATAGAAACTCCATTAGATTTTTTTTAGACAGCTTAGGTGTTCATTTCTAATGCTTTAAAATTCTGAGTCTGTCTTTCTTGCCCTTAGTAACAGCTAAATAATTCTACAGAACACTTTTGAGGATAGTTAAAGCAAAACCTGCAACAAAATGTTTCAGTATGGAGTACTCCTGTTGAGTGTTCCAGTCAGCTAGCCATGCCTTCTTCCAGGGTACTTGATTCCATTCTTCCCCCCCTCCCTCTTTTCCACCTCCTCACCATGCTGTTTATCTGATTATTTGTTTATTCTTCCGCAAAACACTGGGTTCCCCCAACCATAGTATCTACTTGTTATTTTTGGCTACAGAGAAGCAGCACTTAGAGTACTGAATTTATATTAGCATATATGGTATGCCAATAAATATGCAATTTATTACTGGAGAAAGTGGAAAACAGATTTGGTTATGAGGATGTGTGATTGTTCCCTGCTGGTGATGCACTGTTTAAGGATAATTCTTTTCAAATACCCAATTTCCTCCCTGCATACTTTTTCTTGCATGTGTCCCCAAAAGCATGATGTTTTACTTTTAAAACTCAGATGTATCTGATGTACCCCATGGTATCCCATTGAAAACATATAGATAACAGCCACAGTTACAAGCTTTGGAATGGCTCTTTTCTTCTTTCTGCCCCTTCCTTCCATCTCCTGAAGGATTCCCCTTTGCTCTCTTTTCAGAGCTGTCTGGTATAGAAGTGACATGGAATCTTCCTCTGTATTGCACAGCCTCCCGAGTGAAGTGGGGCTTCTCTGTGTGTGCCAAATCAAGCCAGTATTTACTTTTTGAGAGGAAAGAATCACACGTGGCAGGCCTGCGCACAGTTTGGACCCTCAGATTTGAGCCTGAAGAAGAAGTATTTCAGGACACATACTTAATAGATTAACTGGGACAAAGGTGGTAATTTTTGACCTCCCCCCCCTTTGGGGGGAGGGGGCAGAAGTAGCCAGCAGTATAGGTACACCAATCCCAAATCCACTATGGTTAACAGCAAACCATGGTTTGGACTGGTGTTGCAAAGTTGATGTTAACCATCGTTACCATTAAAATGGGCACACAACTTAGCTGTTCATATTTAAAGCAAAAGGAAATCTGTGCAAAGAGAGGCAGGGCAAGTATGCAAACTGTGGAGATCAGGTAGCATTATATATGCCCTGGGACAAGGCAAGTGAATGCAGTTATTATGAATGATTTGATGAAAATGAAGCGCATTAATTTTTGCACACAACAAAAACTCAGTGCTATTTTCCTTGTCCAGCAGCAGCAGCAGCAGCAACAGCAGCAGCAGCAGCAACAGCAGCAGCAGCCGCCGCCACCGCCAGGTCCCCGATTACCCCCAAGGCAGCCCACAGTAGCATCACCAGCTGAATCTGAGGATGAAAATCGTCAGAAGACCCGTCCACGAACAAAAATTTCTGTGGAAGCTCTGGGCATTCTCCAGAGTTTTATACAAGATGTAGGCCTCTATCCAGATGAAGAAGCAATCCAGACTCTCTCCGCGCAACTTGACCTACCGAAGTATACCATTATCAAGTTCTTTCAGAACCAGCGATACTATGTCAAGCACCACGGAAAGCTGAAAGACAACTCAGGCTTGGAAGTGGATGTTGCAGAATATAAGGAAGAGGAGTTGCTCAAGGATCTGGAAGAGGGTGTCCAAGACAAAAGTACAAACACACTTTTTTCAGTTAAATTAGAAGAAGAGTTATCAGTAGAAGGGAACACTGACATTAATACCGAATTGAAAGACTGATCAAAAAAGTATTTATTCAACAGTGTCACTGCTATTTACTAATGAAAATTCCATCCTGTGTTCTGTCAGCAACCTCGTTATTCATTGTTTGGCCAATGAATCTTCCAAAACTTGCACAAAAGTTGAGAAAATTAAGGATAATACAGACTGCACTAGATATTTTACGAACTGCTTCAGAGCTACAGATGAAGCACTGAAGATTGTTTCATATTAATTTGTGTTCACTGGGTACACCAAGGTGTATCCAATAAGCATGATATCTGTGGGTTGTTTTTTAATTATTATTATTATTAGAGCTTTCAGACAAGCGTTACTTTTGTGATTTATTGTTTTAGCTCTGGTTTCTTTTCCCAGTTATTACTGTTAACACTCCACACTTGATATTTGAAAGCTCATGTTTATTTAAATAAAAGGAAAAAAAGAGTTTGTTACTCTTGCTCTATTGTATGTTACAAAAGAACTATAGACTGTGGGATGCAGTTTAAAGTTAACATATGCCAACAAATGCCTTGTATTATATGGCACTGCCGTAACTCAGATTTGTTTTCTTTTCACAAATAAAAGGTCACTGTATCTTTTTCATTTTCATTCTTTGTTACATGATTTTTTGAAAACAAAATGTGAAACACGGTTTATCCCCATTATTTATTTATGGATCCTACAGCATCATGTTGTAATTAATTTTTAGAAGTTTCCGTTAAATGTAATATTGCTTCTTGTTATCATACCAATTTTTTTCTATTTATAAATGTATTTTGATGGGCAGTAAAACAAAGTGTCTTAAAAGTTTTAAATAGAGAAAATGTGCTTTACACAGTTGCCTATAAAAAGTGCTCTATGTTATCCAAGCAATTCATACTATAAGCTTCACTCTTATTGTTGTATGCAATTTTTACTATCATGCAAATAAGCTTAGGTAAATAAAACTAATAGATCACCTTAGAAACTTATGCAATTAATGTGAAAATAATTGATGTTTGCAATGTGTCTTCCTTTGGTTTACAATCAATTTTAAAGCTACAGCTGTATAAATTTTCTGTATAAAGGTGTATTTCTTTTTTATGAGTTTATTGCTATGAAAACACCAGTTATTTTGTTACAGCTGGCTGTTTTTATAAGTGTATCACAATTTTCTTTATGCAGAAATGTTCTGACTAGGAGTGGTTATTGACTGTAACTACACAATTAAAATTGTTTGTATGGTATGATATGACAGGGTTTGTCTGCTTTATACATATATTGGAGAAATGGTACCCTGAATGTGTCTTGTACCTTTTATTCCCCACAAGAAGGGAGGATTCTTGAATTGATCTGCTTACTAACACACACTTTAAAAAATGAAATGACCCCAAACAATGAATCTGGGAAACAGATACTTCTGAAAGAAACCCAGTTTTCCTGTGAAAATCATAACCTGTCTCGTCTTGGTTTTAAAAGTTGCCTGTCCAACAGAGATAGCAGGATATTATTGAGTCAAAAGGCTATCAGGCAAAAACATATTTACAGTTCCTGGCAGTAATGCACTTATAATGGATGCAGCTGGTTTTGTTTTACAGTATTTGAATTTATGATAACACTGTTCCTTATACTAATACATACACATTTTTTAAAAAAATAACAAAACACCATTAATAGTCACAAAGTAAGTAGAAAAGACACGCAGTCCCTTACTAGGCAAGATTACTTTTAATGAACATTAATAAGGATGTTGATAAAGAAGCAATAATTATAGGGTCTTGATTTCATATGGACTACATGTCAAGGCTTGTAATTGCTGAATTGTGGGAGGCAAAATGCTGAAGAATATTAGTATGTTTCCAAAAATAAAAGCTTGTTAAAAAAAAACCCATGAATTCCATTTAAATGTTTAAATGGAAATGTAAAGTAATCATACTAAAATGGCTTAAATTATTCTTAGCAATGTGGCTATAGTAATTCTTGAAGAAGCTGTGTTTCAGGAATACATTTTCAAATGTGTTATACAAACAAGATAGGTGAAATGCTACTTCTGTTGACATTGGTTTCTGTTTTGCCAGTATTGCCTAGGAAGAGTTTGTGCATAACTCTGAACTGTGGTTTAACATTACACAGAGATGCGACAAAAGAACTTAGGTTCACGTGCTTCTCTTTGCTGCAGTCACAAGAAGAGAAGAAACATTCTTTTAATTAAGATTACCTGGAGCATATCATGGCCTCCAACTCCTAAACTGTGATTCATCTGAATTACATTTGGCTCAAATAAGCCAGTTTCATGGTTTAAAGCTATCTTGTTTCAATGAACCATTGTTACAAATAATTACAGTTTGTCAAACTCCAATGGCACAGCAAGCCATGCTTCATCAAAAACAAGCAAATTTTCTGATTGTCTGACACACTGGATTGGGGAAGCATATGAAACTAAGGATTGCTGCAACTCATCCTTGTAACAGTTAACTATGGTTTTGTGTTAGTACAAACAACTTCATGACTCTACTTTCTTGGCAGTAGTTTCATAAAGATATGGCTGACAGTTCAAAGTCTATAAAAGTACGATACCTGCTGCATTTGATTGATTTATTTATTTCAAGAAACATTCTGCTTCCCAAGAACATTTTTGTTTTCCTATATTGCCTAACTTATTTTAATTTTGTTATCATAGAATCCTAGAATAGTAGAGTTGGAAGAGACCAAGAAGGCCATCACCAATTTACACCATCACACTCAGATGGCTGTCCACTTTCGCCTTGAATGTCTGTGTGGTAGAATCCACAACCTCTCTAGGCAACTGATTCCACTGTCGTATGGCTCTGACAGTGAGGAAACTTTTCCTGTAATCTAGACTGAATCTGAGTTGACACAAGTTGATAATTCAGTGTCCTACACTCTGGTATCAGCAAGAAGAGATCCTGTCCTCCTTTGTGACAGCCTTATAGAGGGATATCATGTCCCCCTCAGTTATAACAAGTGTATTAATAGAATTCCTACTTATATTTGAGGCAAGTTAACTGGCTTATGGAAATTGGGGTACGCTGTTGAAATAGATGAAATTCTGAGGTGATGCTGAAGTACTGCTTGGTGCATGTGACTCAGGCCACATGTTAATAACTGTCATGTTGGTGACACTTTTGTGTTAACATTTTGAGTATTGAACGGCATGTGTTTCTTTAGAAAGGAGATGGTCAGAACTGTTGCAGATCTAATTTAGCCTACAGAGAGAAAAACAGATGCAATTGTTAAAATCTGATAAAAAGAGAAAAAACCAAGAGGTAAGGAACTTATAAAGATGGAAATGGTTCATTCTGCTGTATATTGAGAGCATAATTGAACTCAAATAGCTGGTAAAGAGCTCAAATGGTTTACCTATTTGTCCATCTGGGAATGTTTGTTGGCACTGTGGGAAGTCATAATCTTCTATATCGCATAAATCCCTTTGTTTGAGCTTAATGACTCTGAAGAGCCAGAGCCTGAAGAGTTAAGAGCAACAGGGGCAGACATCAATGGAAAATCAGGTGTCAAAAAAGGTGTGTGTACATAAACTCATCAAACAAATCTGCAACGCTTGCGTGCATATGTTTAGAAGATTGGTGTGTACAAAGCATTCAATAGATCTCTCTAAATGATCTCACATCCTCATAAGTACAGTGGTGTAGCTATCATTTTTCAAGCAAAGGCCCACACAGAGGTTTCCACCTATAGTATAGACATTTTAAAGTAAAAATATGGAATGAAAGGGAGGGAGGGAAGGGGAAGGAAGGACAGACAGACCAAACCTCATAAGCAACAGGCCAATGAGATCTTGGCATACTTAGTTCAGAAGCCACAAATCTGAGTGTCAGAAAAGAAAATGGGTTGAGGTTGCTCAATACTGGAAGAGTGAGGAATTACCCACTGAGGAACTGATTTTAAAAAAGATTCTGGACTGTGCAGAAATGGACAGATTGACTCTGTTACTGAAGAAAAGAGAAGATACTGACTTCTTTCAAACTTGGGACCTTTTTTATGATTGGCTGGAGAAACAGGAGTTGGCTTAGATTTAAAGATGTTTTTAAATTTTTATAAATCGATTTGCATATGATTATAGAATGTTAAAAAGATACATTATAGGGGGCTGATCCAGTACATCCAATGTATTTGATGATTGATGTTTTTAGTTTTTAGTTTAAAATCTTAATAAAAATCTTTTAAAAAGAAGAGAAAAATGGGAATAGCCTGTTTTAAGCCCCATCCAATTTATACCACCTTGGAGGGGTCATAACTAGCTGACTAGAACCATACTTCTGCTGGCATGCAAGAGTGCACTGCATCATTTTGCTGCAGGGCACATTGGGTAGCGCCAGCAAGCCCCTGCTCAGCTATTTGCATAGGAACAAAGCATTTAGTACTGGGGAAGAAACACTTCCACTCATGGGTGAAATGCAACAATAGAACCAAGATTTTTGGGCTTTCATACACAGAAGTGGTATGGTGCTTTGAAACTGCAAAAATGAAGTCTTTGAAAATGGGGGGGGGGGAGTAGAAGTGCTACTAGGCCCAGAACTAATTTTTATCACTTTTTCCTCTAGATACTACAACATTCCTACTGAGGCAATGCCAGTTTTTCCACAAACTGTTTAAGTGACACTTTCTGCACATTACCATTAGCTGAAAATTTTGCATGTCACTGCAGTTGCTTGGTTTGACAGCCCCAGAGTGAAAAAATGACAGGAATACCCATTTGATACCTAATAGCCTTAAAGGGTGAGTGTGCTATTGGTTCTATGCTGGATTGTTCCAATTTGAGCTTGTTTTTAGGTAATGAACAGCGATGTCATTGCATGTGGTCACACTGCCAGTGGTGAATGATACAGTGCTTTGAACTGCATGTGTCTTGATTGATTTTATCATAAGCAACACTGCCTTGATTTTGGGCCTACCACAATGAATGGTTTCAGGAGAGTGCATAGGACTGGAAATATTTGTAAGTTGCCTCTTTTGGCTGAGATCCAAGAACTGCTTTAAGCATAGAGAAGAGTTTAGGAATGATCTGTGGGATTTGGGGCTTCCCCACTCCATGCAATACCAAATAGTGCTTTTTACATGCACTATTGGGATTGATGGGGTGGTGTTTATATCTGAGAAATATGGGTCCAAAGCAGAAGTACTGCAACACAGAGGCAAAGCATGGATTTCACTACTAGGAAAGACCTGAAATCCTGGAAAGCCACTGCATGTCAGCATAGACAATGCTGAACTAATTTGGCTAATAATTTGAGTTAGTTTAAGGCAGCTTCCCATGTTCCAAAGCCTCCTTGGGCAAGTTGAACTAGTTGTCCTGTCCTTTGGATGTTGGCCTATCCATCTAAAATTGAAACATGACTTTGTGCACAGGGGAGAAGTAGAGGGGCTTCCTACCTCTCTTCACTTTGGCACTTCACCAAAGTCTTTCATGGACAGTTTGTGAGCGGGAGAAGAGAATATTCCCTACAAGGACTTAGCTAGTTCGGCACCATGTGTTTAAAAGCTTCCTACCTCACTCAGGATGACTTCCAGGCCTACTGGAGTCCTCTGAGATTTCAAAATAAATGTGTTTGGTTTGATTTGATTTGGTTTGGTTTGGTTTGGTTTGGTTTGGTTTGGTTTGGTTTGGTTTGGGAGGGGGGTGTTGTGCAGTGCACATGAGCTCCACTCCCAGTGTCTGTGTTTCAACACTTTCCTTGTTCAGTATGAAGGATGAGGTAACATGCATGACATGGGTTGCTCCCACTTTGTGTTCATCTGCAACAGCATAAGGAGTTTTAGCACCAGAGGCCATGTCTCTCTTCAGGGACAGATCAGAGATTCACGGGGTTATTCTGTAAAGCCAAGGGAAAGGGGTTTCATCAGCCCTCTCCACAAACCAGGTAGTGTCCATTAGAAGCATCCTTGCCACAGACTGACATTTTATTTAACATGGGGAAGGGACGCTGATAAGGAATGAATCAAAATGAATGCACATCTGCTTAAATATCCCAGATACTCAGATATATTTCTTGCAGCATCGTATATGTTAGGCTTTCGCATGCTCTATTTGGTAATCTTTAAAGGGGCATGCAAGACACCCCCTTTTTTGCAGCAATTAATTAATTTTTTTAACAACCACATCTAAGAGAAAATATTGACATATGGATATAATTGTTTTTTTATTCACACTAGAAAAGAATGATACCACTTGGAGAAATAGACTTCAGAAGAAAAAGAGAATAAGATTGTTCTTTGATGGGGAGGATATCCCTTCCCCACTGTGGCCTTGAATTGT